CTATTATCCACTGCGCTTTTGTAATTCTTGGGCGAGACATGCCGGCACACTGTGTTACGCTGTGAGAATGCTTGTCCCCCTATTCGACATGGCAAGGACGCTAACAGCTAGACGTGATATCTATTTTACCAAATAGTGCACTAATGATATGTGAATGTAGGTATTCTCCCAGACATCCTACTCATAGCATGCGTTTATGCCAGTTGTTCGAGCTTGTCGGCCTCAGAATGAGGGGAAGGTGGCCTTAAGGAGTTGTACATCTGGGCCAAAACTGCGGTCCGTGAAAGTTGGTATCAGAGCGGGTCCGCTCGAGCATGTGGTGTTGTTATGGGACAATGTCGTGTGTTCTTGCAGAGAAAAGATTTTGGGCCATTGATTGTGTCAACAAGTTGGCGGAACACGACGAAAGAAGATGTGGGTAAGCAGAATGAAAAAGGGCATCGTTGCGTAATTGCCTAGGTGCATTCAAGGAGTTTTTGAGGAGCGTACATTGGAGGGGTTTTCGATACGCGTTGAGGCGCTACGGTTTAGAGGTCGTCGACCTGAGGAACCGATGCTTAGAGAAGCGGAGGGTGAAGGTTGGCGTCGAAGGCGGTAAGTACGAGTTACTGTAAGTTTGTGAATGCATGTCCATAGAGGGTGGTGCCATTGTTATTCTTGCAATGAGATGGATGCGTGTTAATGCGAAACTCACTTCTCGCTACGAGGACGTAAGTGAATTCAAATGGGGGTGAATGTCACGCGGTGAGAATGCTTATCTCCCTATTCAGCACGATAATAACGCTAACAATTAGGCTTGAGGCCTATTTTACCAAATAGTGCACTAATGATAAGTGATCATATGCAGGTATTCTCTCTAACATTCTACTCATAGCATGCTTTTATGCCTGTTGTTCGGGCTTGCAGGCCTCGGAATGAGGGGAAGGCGGCCTTGAGGCGTTGTACCCCGGGAGCCAAAATTGCAGTCCGTGAAACACTGGGCGGCTGAAGAACGAAATTAATTAATTGTAAATTTTATTAGTTTTTCAACATAAATTTTTTTTTGTGTAAATGTCCAGTAATTGAAAATTGTTTGCAATTGTGTTATAATTATGTTTGTTCGAAAAATTATATCGAAAAACTTGGCACCTCATTGGTTCAGCTAAAAAGTTAAATTAAAATTTTAGTCAAAATCAATAATTAACTTCAACCACATATCTTATGGGACGTATAAATTTTCATCTACACAATACATCAACTTCTATTAAAATTTATTAAAAATTTAATTTTAAAATAAACGAAATAGGGGCTTAATTAAATAAAAAATCATATTCATTTCAACCATTACAATATTATCTGAAAATAGTAATACTTACAAGTAAATGAGTAATACTATTTGTAAATCATTATGTACATAGTCCTTGTTTGATCCCCATTTTTTTTTCAATTTTCTTTTCAATCGCACTTTCTTCAATAAAATTATATTACATGCAAATTCAAGAAATTTCCTTATTTTTTAGCCACACATTCTCCAGTAATTTATCATTCCAAAATACATACTAAACAAAAAATGAGGGTAAAAAAAGCCCATTATAATATAAATAATATGGAAGAGAAATAAAAATTATAACAATTAAATTTCTTCGCCCTCCCTCCGACCCACCCACCCTCCCTCCCTCTTGTATTTCTATCTTTTTAATAAAGTTAATTGTTCCAATGGTCACCGAACTTATATTTATATTTTTAATTGTTCATTGAAATTTAAAATATCGAGTTTTGGCTATTGAATTTTGGAAAACGTTGGACGTTACTTACCGCTATAACTCTTGTTTAAAATATCTAATGGAATTGGTGACGCAAAATGCACACATAGCGTCTCGTTACGATGTTAAACTCTGAGATGGTGGAATTTTGACCACTAAACTTTAAAAAACGTTTTTTATTGCTCATTAAATTTTTAAAAACATATTTTATTACTTACCGAACTTTGAGGTGGTCGAATTTTGGTCAATAAATTTTGAAAAATGTCTTATATTCCTCATAATAAATGAGTGAATTGTTTCAATAATCACAACTTATACCATGGTCACGGATTGCTCACTAATTTTTAAAGTGCTTCGCAATGCTCACTAAACTTTGTCTGTTTGCACTATATCGATCACCCTAAAAAATCCGTTACATTATTCGTTGACGTGGCTAACGGAAATCTGTGGGGCAAGTTACGGTCGTTAAAAAAAATGGCAACTCATCAAAACCATTGTTTCATTACTCATCCAACTTGCATTTGATCATAGTTTACTCATCGAACTTCAAAATGCTTTATAATGGTCACTCATCTTTGAAATGTTGCACTCTATTCATCATCCACTATATTTTGTTCCCTTCATTCCTAATATTCGCACAAAAATTCCACGTGATAAGTTGTCAATGTTAAAAAAAATTGCAACTCAACAAAACTTCACTCACCAAAATATCATATATGAAACGTGACTTCCCCGGCTCCATCAACTTCT